ATTTTATCGTATATTTCTTGTATTTTTTTTATTTAATATATATATATATATATATATATATATGTATATATAATAAAATTTAGTAATAATAATAAATTATTCTATATTCCTACAAAAACATTTTAATTAGAGGTATTCAGCACTTTCAAAGAGTTACAAATTCAAATTTCGATTCTTAAGAAAGATAATACTTCTATATGGTGTTTCTAACTTTCCAACCAATTTTTTTTCTTATTTTTTTTTGGGATGGTGGGGGTGGGAAGGGAGGGTTCTTCGTGTGTTCTCCAAAACGATTCGAAGAAAATAATCTTATCGGTTACTCGAGAACCACACACACCTCCCCCCACTCCCCTTACCACCCCCCATATATTTATTAACGATCGTTAAGATCGCCTTGAAATAAGAGAAAATAATGAGAGTATTCGAGCCTTTCTAACGGGTGGCATGAATTTTTATATAATACGCGAGTTTAGTATTTCCTTTCAAAGGGGAGAGAAAAAAAAAAAAGACCAAATGATGAATGAGAAAAAGATAAAAAATTATATGCGTAGATTAGAAAAAAAAAATACAAAAACAACCCATAGATTCATATGGTGTCAAGATAACGATAAGATTTTATGATCCTGTTTAAATCCACCCCCCCCCTACTTTCCTCTTCAGTCTCCTCGCATCCCCGTTTTATTCTTAATTGTAGCATTCTCAAATTATGATGATTTTTGGAAAAGATCTTTTTTTGTTTAAAAACTATCATTCTTTTTCTTCTTATTATTAATAATAATATTATTATTTTATTGTTGTTTAATAGTTTATAATTTATAATTAATAATATAATTAATATAAAATACGTGAAAATTTGTTACATGTAATTAATAATATAAGTTGGTCAACGATGTTTTTATTGACTTTTATTTTTTTTTATATTATTATTTTATATTTTATATTAATAATTATATTAATTATATATTATATATTCTATTAATTGTATTAATATTTATTTATTTATTTATTAATATATATTTATATTTATATTTATTAATATAAATAAATTTGTAAATTTATTTATCATATTAATATATAATATTTATATATAATATTAGTATATATAATTTAATTATTAAATATTTATTATATATTAATTATTTATTATTATCAAATATAATAATATAATATAATATAATAATAAATATGTAATAAATATATTACACATTTATTAATATAAAATAATAAATAAATAATTTATTATAATATAATTATATTTAATAATTACAGACTTTTTTTTATTCTATATAAATATATAATTTAATTTGATTAATATAAATATTACATTATATATTTTACATTAATATTAACAAATAAATATATGAGTCGCTAAATCACGCTAGTAATTTTTACCAAACGCATATATACGTCCATAGCACACAAAGGATTAATACCAACAAATGAATTTTGATCTTTCTAATAGGGGAGTTAGAAAACTTGAAGTCTCATCGTTTCTCAAGGATCAATTTCACTATTTAATATCAGCTAAGAAGTTCTGCTTTATTTTTTCTCTATTTCACCCTTTTACATATATCTCCCTATCCCTATCCCTACCCCTACATAAAACCCCACCCCTCGATACCAAGAACTATTAAATTTATAGCTTTTCCCTCGTCGAACCAAAAAAAAAATAGACAGAGAGAGAGAGAGAGAGAGAGAGAGAGAGAGAGATGATAAACCGTATAATAAGCGTCGGCTAAGATAACGGGTGACCCATAAGTTTTACGACTACATGATAGATAAATAAATAAATAAATGGAAAGTTTTCATTTTTTTTCTTTTTTTTTTTTTAAACTCGTTTCCAACGAATACGACATAATGGAAAAATCTGATTCTTATCGTTAAATGTTTTTTTTTCGTTTTTTTTTCCGACCACCATCTCCCCACCCCCACCCCCATCCCCCTATTCGTTCATAATTTCATTTAATGCATATATAAACCTGTGATGGATAATGATTAGGATTAATTGGGCACATATATGCGTTCACGATGTGAATCGGTTTAAACGAGTAATTATTATAATAATTATTATTAAAATTTGAAAACTTACCTTGCAGCTTATCGTAATTCTCTTCAATAAAATGGACACGTGCCTTCCGCCATTTCTAAAATATCTTTCACCACCCTCCTTCCTCCTCCTTCTCTTCCTCCTTTTCTTTTTTCTCCTTCTTTCTCCACCACCACCTGAAACAACAAATTTCAATTGCATTATTATCCGTTCTATTTAAAATAAAAAAATTAACAATTTAAAAAAAAAAAAGAACCAATCAAAGCAAACGAATAAAATAAATTATAATAACATAAAAAAAAAAAAAAATAAAATATAATAAAATAAAATAAAATAAAATACAATAATATAATATACAATAAAATAAAGTATAATATAATAAAATA